GGTCCCATGGACTTGTGCGCCTTCAGGTGCCTTAGATGGTCTTGAACCTGATGTTCTCCCACAGTGGACAGCTCTTCATTCTCCCAGTCCCTGCCTTTGCCTTCTGTGGCTTGGGTGGTGGGGCTTTGGGCACTTCCGGTGCCTTTTGGATATCTCCAGATATGACTTGATCTATAACACAGGAGTGTATAGCACAAACAACATTCTGGCTTTTTCAGTCATGAAAATTAATCATGAGTTAGTCCATTTGAAAAAAAGTTTGGTTGAGGAAACAGAAAAAGTATAGGAAGTACCAGACAATCTGGAAAATTTTACCAAACAACTAAACTGAATAAGAAAATTTCTAGCACAATGTCTCTTAGAAGTGAGAGAATTTTTTTATTTGATACTGACAAACACTTGCCTACTAACAACCTTCTTGAAAGTTGTTTTCCTCCACCGTTGTAGCCACTATAGTTACCGTATATATTTCCTATGAGGAATAAATGTATGCAGTCCTGGTATGCATCCACAAAGTTTATGGTGAATGTGATCTGTTTCATCAAATTAAGAAATAGATGATAAAACCCCTGCATTTTTAACAAGGTGGTTTTGTCTATAAATGTCATTTATACACACATAATATGCATTAAGTATTTACAAAAAAGTTCTTTATAGACTTACAATAATTATAAATGACAGAACTCATAAAAATTCCCCACATAATAACTGGTAGTTTTATTGATGAGCATGAAATTTTCTTCACTGGTTTCACTGTGTGCTATGGTCATCTTCATGAGGCACTAGAGGCTGTAATTCTCATCACTTATTCAGTACGTCTTCAAGCTGCTTAGATCGATTTGTATGGATATTCACGGGCATTGCATCTTCTACAATGGAAAGACTTTGAATAACAGCTCCTTTATGATAAAAGGACTCTGTCCACTGTTAGGTGAGCATGTACAGTAACACGTCTTTAAAGAATCAACAAATGGAAGTGACACAAAGACTGCTGGGTGCTGAAGGATGAAGCTATTACTTTAATATATAGTGTTTACCCAGTCTTTTCTGTTTAAGTCTCTCTGTATGGTAGCTGTCATTTTCTTTTCATTGCTTAAGGTCACCTTAAGCAATGACTATAATTTTGGTTAAAATATCAAGCAAATCTAATTGATCTACTTGAGTTGTAGTATTTTATTGTCTTCAGCTTTCTGAACGTTCTAATTCTGCGTAAATGAAAACGTGTAGGATTTAATCAAATGAAGGCATCTATCCAAATGTTATCTCCCAATAATACATATTTAAATTGAAAAAAGTATTTCCAGTTACCTGCCTAACCGTGAATCTGAGGTCATTCTTTGTTCCCTTACTTTTAACAAAGGGAATAGTAAGAACTCAATGCATTTCTCATTAAAATGAACAATAGAGGAGGAAAAAAGGTTTTACATATGCATGCCAGCATGTAAGACTAACTTTTTCAATGTTAGGATTTTTTTCTACTTTGAGAGATAGTGTAGCCTTACATCAGTTCAAATGTAGCCGTATACAATCAGAGGAAAAACGTTTAAACATCCCAGCATGGGTATTTCCATTTAAATCTGATTACAGTGAAATAAAACTGTAGCTATTAAAGGTTTAGAAGAACTACAAATACAAGCAGTAAAAGAAGACAGTTAGTAAATGAGGTAGTAAAACATTTCAGCAGGGCAAACAGTTTATAGCACTCAGCCTTCCTGTAGCAGACTGTGCTATTCACTACAGACCCGTGCACTGTTCCCTGAACTGCACTTAAACCTGCAATTAACCTTTCACGCCTAATGAAGCTGTTTTGCTGCAAAATTAAAATATATAGTACTGCCTGTTTTTACAGAGACTGGGAGGAGAGCATCTCAAAATGAATGACTTTTTCAGATGCTTTTGTTCAAATGCAGGATTAAAGTGCTGTTTGTGTACAAATCAGGAATGCGCTTTTCAAGGCAATCTCATTTGATGTGCTGTATTTTATTCCTGTACTTATTAATTGTTTTGCATAATTGTAAAAAAAAGACAAAAAATTCACACACCAGTAATTTTATGATTAGACACTTACTTCCTGAGAATAAACTATTACCATTTAACTTCCATTAGGAAAGACAATAGTTCTGCTAAAGAAAACCAAGTTCGTATTGCTTTCTCTGGCATTTTTCTCATTGCGGATGCAATTATCTCTTACAAAAATATACTTTCCACTTATGTATTTGACTGGGCTCACTTCTTAATGATCTTTCCATACATATCCTTAAAACAAGCTGGAGATTGTTTTAGCTGCATAGAACTAGGTCAGGTTATTTCTATAACATTTAGTAGAAAAACAAACTAAACTTAAAAATAGGTCCGGTTCTGCAGCTAGGCTTGAATTTCCAGAAATTAGACTATTAGAGGTGACCATGTGGTTCTCCATGTGGGATGCTTACTGACTCCACTGTTCCTTTCTGCCACCTTACTCAAGAGTCAGAAGCAACCAGAGGCCATGTAATGGTTTGGAAAATACCAGTTTGGATGGTAAGTAGGGTATTTAAATGGCAGCATTCAGGGAAGGCGGGTAAATGAAATAACTTATGAAGCGAGGTAACAGATATAGAACACTATAAGATTTACAGTTCCAACTTTAATGACTATAAATGTATTCATATTTGTTGTTTATATACAAAACCTGTAAAATAAAGGGAAGATTTTGCTGAGTTTTTTTTAATGAATATTTAAGCCACAGCATTTTTATCAAATCTTCTGTTGTATTTTGATGTAAATTCTGCTTGCTTGCAGTGTCTGTGCATCAGCTTGACTTGGTAAATGAAATTCCTGTAGACTGCCAGTCTGAAATAATGAATTGTTCCCCCAGCTAATTGTATTGCTTTGATAGCAAGGAACTATGCTGGGCGTAGAGAACAAAATAAATGAATTTCATCAGATGATTTGTGTGATGTTTTGAAAAATGATCTTCTAGAGTGACCTGATTTTAATGGAACTGTAACAGCATGCCAGTATATCCCAGTATGCAGCATTAGATTTGAAGGAAATAGTTCTTCCTTTTTGTTAATTGTTATGTAAAGTGAGGTTAGCATCTCATATCCAAGTATATTTTAAAATATCTTCTAAAAAATGGAAAACCTGTTTTCCTAATAATAGTAATTTCATTTAGCATACTCCCTAAGCCTAGCTGCTAAAGACAGGATCACATGTAAGCAACCATCAAAACGTTATTTAGGTTTTATCCTTGAATTTGCTAATACCAGGTACTGCTGATACTTTAAAGGTGCCTCAAAGATTTCAGAAATTCAATTTATCAAAGTCCAGTTTAAGGAATCGCTAGCTCATGCCAGGAAATATATGTGTATGTGAGAAAAATGACTTACTTAATCTTGGCTCTTACATATCCTGAAATGCAGCAATGATAATTGTACTTAGTGTTTTACAGTATAGTGCCATGTATTTTCAAAAAACTGTATGCACATTAATTGATTTTTGCAACATTTTTGTGAATTAAGAAAGGTAGTGTTACAGTGTGCAATAGCATAGAATTTTTTCAGGATACTGGACTGAATCCGATGGTATATCATATACTGAAAAAGAAGCCTGTAGAAACACTTGTAAGTGAAAAATATTTTTTGCAGGGTTTCTTAGTAGATAAGTGTTGTAATGAGGGGATGCATGAAAAATATTGCCAAAATTGGATTCTGTAATAGATAAACTGAGTTTCATATTGGCCTGAGTTAAAAAATAGAGGCTGCCTGTTAAACATGGTGAAAAGTATTTTCAGAGGTTTCCTTGTGGAGTAGTACTGTTACTGGTTAGAGATTGAGATGTATTGGGCAGTATGGAGAACCAGCACCTTCTTTGCCTACATTATGGGTATATATAGATGTGCTTTTGCAGATGTAAGTGTCATGGTTTTATTGCAGCCATGGTGGAGTAGAACATATGAATGATGTGAATACTCCTAATCCATTTCATTGCGATACCGCCTGTGTGAATCTAAAAATTCAGAACTACCATGTATTAAGTGTGTTGTCAATCACAGCATTTCAGCAGAAGTCAGTAATTTCTAGCAAGTATGCAGTAACAAGCAAACAGAAGAGTAAATTCTTAAACTACTAATTTCCTAAGCATGCCTGTCCATGCCCTCTGTAATACCCTGTTAAGATTATAGCAGGTCATGAAATATCAACAGCTTAAGCAGAATTTGAAAAAGAATTTTGGTGAGTTGACAACATTTAGAATTTATCCAGGCCAACACCATCACGGTTCACTGTCTGTTCACAAATCCATGCATTCTGGAAAGATATTTTCGTATCTTTTTGTTCATGGTAAATACTAACCTTTGAATATTTCCAAATTAGGCAGGCATATATATTGCAAAGAGAAATATTCAAGGGTACAATTTTGTCCTAACTGTGGTCTCCATTTCTCTTTTATTTTGTGATTTGATAGTTTCATCCATTTCTAAATGCAGTGCACAAACATTTAATAAGAGAAAATCCATGTCAGAGAGCTGCTGGTCCACATAACCAAGAAAATGGTGATAAAGAGAGGTGATGCTAAGATCACACAACAAAGCAATAAGAGACTTAAGTGGAACTCAGTTCTCCTGATTTCCAGTCTAGTCGTAACTGCACTTTTTTTCTTCCTGTTTCTTCACTGTTACCAGGTAGCATTTTAGAAGGTGAGAACTTGTTACCTAACTCTGAAATAAAACTGATCACTTCTGGGAAAGCACAAAAACTTGGCATGAAAGGAACCATCACACTGCTCTGGAACTCTTCTCAGGAAAGCTGGGCATTAAATTTTGTTTTTCCTTTATCTTACAGGTCTTGCAATTGCAAGTGCACTGATAGATATTTCACAACAGAAGCCTGCGGACTGTAAAGATAAGAGTTCAGGAGTCAGAAATCGAAAACATCATCTTTCAACACGTCAAGGAACTTGTGTCTGAGATTCAAAAACTACAATTGTATATTCTGTAATGTTTCCTTTTTAAATGGCTTCCATTGAAAGCTATACTACAGCCTCAGTTTTTATGGAGGCAAATCTATGAATGAGAACATGAGGTACTGTGCTCTGTTATAGTCACACAGCCTACTATACCCCAAAGCAGAACAAACTTATGGTAGGTATGAATATGTTTGATGAGCTTTAATAAAAAGAGTGGATCCTGATATCAACAAAATACAAAATAAAATACCTAGTATTCTTAATCTTGAACATATCAGAGCAGGGAAAAAACAGAACTAGGAAAAACTGTACATTGTTTTGTAATGTAGAAGGAAATTGTATAATTGAAAACTAAGCAAATTCCCGGGAACTAAAGGACATTTTTGTATAGCTTAATGTAACAATGAGAATTGTACAGTTCTTTCCTTGTAATCAGCATTAAGATTTCTTTCCAGGAAGCAGGAGCTAAAGAGGATCATTTGGATTTAGGTGTTCTTTTATCATTGCCCGAAATATGTAGGTAGCTTTTGAATTTACCATAGGTATAACCCGAGAACACCACATGTAGTATTTGAAAGATCATTTCATAAAAAAAACTTGATTTGAACATTTCATGATTATTTCTCTTTACCTTGCAAAAGCCTCAGAAACATAATCTGGGCTGCAGCAGACTGACGGGTGGGCTTTCATGTTTCTGTACCTAAGAGTCTATTCTGAATTCTGAATGACATATTTTACAAAGAGGGCATGTGGGTCCTCCATGCCAGCTAACTGATTAGCAAAATTAATTGAGCATGGAAAAGCTTCTTCTGCAATCAAGTTTGCTGTTTTTTCCAAGAGAGTCTCCAAGATTGCAGGTCTATGGAGAGTTTAACTTGCTGTTATTCTACCTGCTCCCGTTACCATATTGAAATTTGCTAGTATCTATATATTGTCCTGATCTCCAAGCAGAAGAAATGAATCCCAGTCAGCACTTTGACCCTTGTTTTTGTAATAAAGCGTGGATGGTTTTTGTTCTCCCAGCTGCAGCATTTCATCTCATCCTCACTTTCACACCAGTTAAGGAATTACCCTGCATAACAAAAATGAAATAAATAAATATTCAGAAATCCAGGTTGCTTCCAACAGTGGTTCTCAAATCCAGCATCCACTGTGGAACCTCACACAATCAGTACTCAGCAACAAAAAGCAGATGAAAGAGTTTCCTTTCTATAGGACATTAGTCTTCTGGGGGCTTGGTCACCACAACAGATAACCTAGCAAACAGCTTTAATGGCCCTCAGTCTTTTTGTTTACTCAAAATTCATGAATATACAAAAGAGTAAGAGAATGCTAAGGGGTAGGTAGCAGATGTGTCATGTTCTCAATTACACATTACATGTTGACAGCAGTATAATATGAAACTAGTAGTTTTGTACGAGCTTGTCGAAGGTATAGTTTCTCAACTCCAAATTTGCCACCATACTAGTACAGGAGAGTGATACAGAGGTATAAATGCCTCATGTAATGATAGACTTTTGGTAAATACGAAAGATATAAAAAGATAATTGATGTTTACTACTATATCTGTATTTTTCATGTTCTTTTTATTTTGGAAGATGATGACATTTTACTGTTTATAGTTGACTACATAGTTACTTGCATGCCATGGTGGTGCAGTAGCAGTAATAAAACCCTGTTGTGAGTTGTGTTTATTTTGTAACGCCATTCATACATAGAAGTACTCAGCTTAATTTGGATGAGGACTAAATGTAAAAATAACTATAAAAGGAACAATTGTACAGTATCTAGTTATATCTTATACAGGAATATTAGGTTGCGTCTAACCATGACTGCTCTATTGTTTTGATAAATTATGCACTATGCACTTATGGTATAATTATTTCTTATGCTGGCATGATTGTTTCAGTATTTTCATATCTCATATCTTTTAGGTTGCGTCTAACCATGACTGCTCTATTGTTTTGATAAATTATGCACTTATGAATTATGGTATAATTATTTCTTATGCTGGCATGATTGTTTCAGTATTTTCATATCTTAAAATAAGATTATTATCCTAAAATAATGCTATCACAATCTTGTGACTTTTATTGCCTATTCTGACCTCAGCCTCTTATATCTTAAAACTTTAAAAATTCTTTTGTAAAGCTTCTGTTGGGAACTTCCAATCAGTGCTACTTTGCATAGTGAAAAAAATGGTGTTTTGAAAACAACCCTTTCTGTCAGTTTTAAAGTTGATCTGTTCAAATGAATATAAACCGATGGAACTGGTTCATATGATGCATACACTTATAAAAAGGAAAGAACCACTTGTCTGGAATATATTCCAAACTCTGTATTATCCTCAACCTAAACATTTCACATAAGAAATATACAGTGTATGTTTTGTGAATGTACTGGAAACCCCGTACACAGAAAGACCATGTAGTCTTGCAGAGCAGTTTTGACTGTACTCACTCATAAAGGATTACATTCCTCCGTATCTCAACTGGAGTTTGACAATTACTTGAAAAGCAGGTATGAGTTTTAAAGGGATTAAAATATTTTATTGGAACACTGAAGATGGGCAAATAGCTATCAGCCATTTTATTGTGATAACAGTTAAAAATGTTATTTTAATTGTACAAGAAAAGCATATTTGTCATGCGATCATTCAGCATTTTCATTCACTCTGAGAATGTTTTTTCCTAAAGTATCTTTCTTCTCCCAGGGTCCCTGATTGCATGCAAATTAGTAAAAACATATAATAATGAAATAAATAAATAAAAATACTTACATAATGGCCACACTTAAATACGAGAAGTTTGCCAATACATCTCAAACCGAAGTTGCAGAGTAACTGTTACAGCTTTTCTGTTTTAAAGGTATAAAAATAGCATAATGTCTGATAACTACATTTTTTTAGTTGTTGGCAAGTACAAACTTTTTAATAATGACCACTGTACATCAGATGAGATGCTTTATCAACTGTCACATTATGATTGCTTCATGAAAAAGCCAATTTTTTAAAAAACTCTGTTCTCCAGTTTAACTTTTGAACTCTTTCTTAGAGCCAGAAAATGTTGAATGGCCTGTTTTACCCCTAATGTGATTTATGTTGGATGAAAAATACACGACTCAGCACTGTTCTTGAAAGTAAGCCCCAGTGAAGTTCTGATTGTCAGGATTCCACCTCTACCCCCTCAGTCCATGGATTCTGCTGAGGGAAATTCAGCAGCTACGAATTACTGTTCAAAATACGAGATAAGATAAAATAAGACTGTCCATGGTAGCATGGGTTCACCGCTCCTTCAGTTTCTCTCTGTACTTGTATATTTATATAAAGTCCTGAAACTCCTTGAATCAAATTTGTGCACATACAAATAACACTTTAGAATACTTGCTTCCATTCATTACATTCCTATGAAATGCCAGTTTACCTATACAAAAATATGGTTATCTGTATATTGCCACTATTAAAACTATATCTAAAAAAAAGGCCAAATTCTAGACATGTTAAGGCATGAAGATACCATTAATTAGGAACATTCAGATTCATCTGATCTGAAAATTTTCATAGTTGACTGCTCTCTTTATAGTTAGAGTCCCCTCTCATCTTCCCAAATCAAAAACATTTGGACAAGATCAGATTGGGACATGGAATTTGTTATGTGTAAAATCTGCAGCAATAATTATTTTCTAAATAATCTAATGTAAAGAGCTGGAATCCTGATGGTAAGAATTTTAGTTTGGGGTCACTTTAACAGATGTTCAGTCTTTATGCATAATAACTTTCATAGTATTCATCTAAATTATAAAATCATTATGTATCTAATTTCATTACCAGTTTTTTAAAAAGTATCTGAAAGGTTTCTTGACAATAAAGGAAAAGTCTCTGTTAAAGGTAATTAACAATCCCTTCTTTTTTTAAGCAAAGTTGTCCTATCCAGAATGCTTGACATTATTGGGGAAAATTAAATAAATTAACTCTATTTTTTCAGTCTCTAAGGTGCAGCGTTACCTGAAAAGCTCTAGTTTACTGATACTTATTTCAGATCATCTCTAGAGTAAAGTATGGAATACCTAAGGCTATTTTAGGTGCTTATAGCAAATAATAGCAAAACTACTGTTGTCTAACAGGTGGCTAGAACTTCCCATATTGTCTTCAGCTGTACTTTCTTGCTAAATACTAACGAAAAAGAAGAAAGCTGGCAAAAGCAGGCCTTGCAGAACCTGGGCTTGTATAATTCAGGGCCATTTGTTGTTTCAGCTTTTCCTTATTTAATGATATTTCACTTTCAAAATGAATGCTTATATGACTGCATATACGGCCGCATGTGGCCATTTCTATGGCTACAGATATTGCTCATGTAAAAAATCACCATCTTGTATATTTAGTTGAAATTCTAGTGACCCTCTGAAATTTATTGTGAAGCTGAACGGGGACTATTGTTACCCTAGGCTTTCTTAAATTGATACTTCCTTGGTCATGTAAGTTGAAGCTGAGTCAGGTTTTGGTAAAAAACAACTCTTTGCACTTCTTCAGATATGTTCAAAACTTCCTTTTTCTAAAATAAGAAAGCAAGGGTGGGAATGATGGACGAAGAGAAAAAAACACAAACCAAACAACCCTCTTTAAAACATACAGGAAGCACACACACACACACACACATATATATGTGCAATTAGGTAATTGGTTTCACAGCTGATCTAAATCAGAACATTTTCACAGTTTCCGCACATATTCTCACATATTATATTGAATAGTATGAAGACGTTAACTGAATCAGTGACTATTTATGTGTATACTAATGGTCATTTCTACAGAAATAAAACCTTAAATGTATTTAGCCTTCTGAGTGGGGATATAGAAGTCTGTTTGAAATACTGTATAGAGAATGTTATTTCAGGGGCTTATCAATTGGCTAGCAGTATTTTCAGCGAGTCCGAGACTGAGTGCCTAAAGTGAGGCAAGTGTCTTCCATCCTTTTATATCCTCTATTTTTTAGTACATTTTCA